AAGTTTAGACATAAACAGGCACCTAAACATACACTGTAACGACATTATAAAATGGTTCACAGACACAGAAATCAACAGACAATTTCTTATCACGAACATACTAACTTTTTGTATCAAGGACGAATGTAGCCTGGCTTTTAGTATCGTCTGTAATTATTCTTTTTAATCAGAAAATAATATTCATTGAAAAAACTATTTTAAGCACTGAATATAATTTTTTAAATGTAATATTGGGTGCATTATATATGTCTAAGGAAATGTATCAGCTAATAAATGAGACTGATATGTATACTTAACCCTCAATCAGATAACCGGGGATGTTTTGTATCTCAGTGACTGGGTATTGTCGGGGCGCCCTTCATAAAGAAGATAGTCTATAGTGACAGGGGAGCGTTGTCTGGTCGCCCCCATACAGTAGATAGTCGATAGTGACTGGGTATTGTCGGGGCGCCCTTCATAAAGTAGATAGTGTATAGTGACAGGGGAGCATTGTCTGGTCGCCCCCCATACAGTAGATAGTCTATAGTGACAGGGAGCGTTGTCTTGTGGCCCTTCATACAGTAGATAGTCGATAGTGACTGGGTATTGTCGGGGCGCCCTTCATAAAGTAGATAGTCTATAGTGACAGGGGAGCGTTGTCTTGTGGCCCTTCATACAGTAGATAGTCGATAGTGACTGGGTATTGTCTGGGCGCCCTTCATAAAGTAGATAGTCTATAGTGACAGGGGAGCGTTGTCTTGTGGCCCTCCATACAGTAGATAGTCGATAGTGACTGGGTATTGTCGGGGCGCCCTTCATAAAGTAGATAGTGTATAGTGACAGGGGAGCATTGTCTGGTCGCCCCCCATACAGTAGATAGTCTATAGTGACAGGGAGCGTTGTCTTGTGGCCCTTCATACAGTAGATAGTCTATAGTGACTGGGTATTGTCGGGGCGCGCTTCATAAAGTAGATAGTCTATAGTGACAGGGAAGCGTTGTCTTGTGGCCCTTCATACAGTAGATAGTCGATAGTGACTGGGTATTGTCGGGGCGCCCTTCATAAAGTAGATAGTCTATAGTGACAGGGGAGCGTTGTCTTGTGGCCCTTCATGCAGTAGATAGTCGATAGTGACTGGGTATTGTCGGGGCGCCCTTCATAAAGTAGATAGTCTATAGTGACAGGGGAGCGTTGTCTTGTGGCCCTTCATACAGTAGATAGTCGATAGTGACTGGGTATTGTCGGGGCGCCCTTCATAAAGTAGATAGTCTATAGTGACAGGGGAGCGTTGTCTGGTCGCCCCCCATACAGTAGATAGTCTATAGTGACAGGGGAGCGTTGTCTGGTCGCCCTCCATACAGTAGATAGTCTATAGTGACAGGGGAGCGTTGTCTGGTCGCCCCCCATGCAGTAGATAGTCTATAGTGACAGGGAGCGTTGTCTGGTCGCCCCCCATACAGTAGATAGTCTATAGTGACAGGGGAGCGTTGTCTGGTCGCCCTCCATACAGTAGATAGTCTATAGTGACAGGGGAGCGTTGTCTGGTCGCCCTCCATACAGTAGATAGTCTATAGTGACAGGGGAGCGTTGTCTGGTGGCCCTCCATGCAGTAGATAGTCTATAGTGACAGGGGAGCGTTGTCTGGTCGCCCTCCATAAAGTAGATAGTCTATAGTGACAGGGGAGCGTTGTCTTGTGGCCCTTCAAACAGTAGATAGTCGATAGTGACTGGGTTTTGTCGGGGCGCCCTTCATAAAGTAGATAGTCTATAGTGACAGGGGAGCGTTGTCTTGTGGCCCTTCATACAGTAGATAGACTATAGTGACAGGGGAGCGTTGTCTGGTCGCCCTCCATGCAGTAGATAGTCTATAGTGACAGGGGAGCGTTGTCTGGTCGCCCCCCATACAGTAGATAGTCTATAGTGACAGGGGAGCGTTGTCTGGTCGCCCCCCATACAGTAGATAGTCTATAGTGACAGGGGAGCGTTGTCTGGTCGCCCTCCATACAGTAGATAGTCTATAGTGACAGGGGAGCGTTGTCTGGTCGCCCCCATGCAGTAGATAGTCTATAGTGACAGGGGAGCGTTGTCTGGTCGCCTTCCATACAGTAGATAGTCTATAGTGACAGGGGAGCGTTGTCTGGTCGCCCCCATACAGTAGATAGTCTATAGTGACAGGGGAGCGTTGTCTGGTCGCCCTTCATGCAGTAGATAGTCTTTAGTGACAGGGGAGCGTTGTCTGGTCGCCCCCCATGCAGTAGATAGTCTATAGTGACAGGGGAGCGTTGTCTGGTCGCCCTTCATGCAGTAGATAGTCTATAGTGACAGGGGAGCGTTGTCTGGTCGCCCTCCATACAGTAGATAGTCTATAGTGACAGGGGAGCGTTGTCTTGTGGCCCTCCATACAGTAGATAGTCTATAGTGACAGGGGAGCGTTGTCTTGTGGCCTTCCATACAGTAGATAGTCTATAGTGACAGGGGGGCGTTGTCTTGTGGCCTTCCATACAGTAGATAGTCTATAGTGACAGGGGAGCGTTGTCTGGTCGCCCTCCATACAGTAGATAGTCTTTAGTGACAGGGGAGCGTTGTCTGGTCGCCCCCCATGCAGTAGATAGTCTATAGTGACAGGGGAGCGTTGTCTGGTCGCCCTCCATGCAGTAGATAGTCTACAGTGACAGGGGAGCGTTGTCTGGTCGCCCCCATGCAGTAGATAGTCTATAGTGACAGGGGAGCGTTGTCTGGTCGCCTTCCATACAGTAGATAGTCTATAGTGACAGGGGAGCGTTGTCTGGTCGCCCTCCATACAGTAGATAGTCTATAGTGACAGGGGAGCGTTGTCTGGTCGCCCCCCATGCAGTAGATAGTCTTTAGTGACAGGGGAGCGTTGTCTGGTCGCCCTCCATAAAGTAGATAGTCTTTAGTGACAGGGGAGCGTTGTCTTGTGGCCCTTTATACAGTAGATAGTCTACAGTGACAGGGGAGCGTTGTCAGGTCGCCCCCATGCAGTAGATAGTCTATAGTGACAGGGGAGCGTTGTCTGGTCGCCTTCCATACAGTAGATAGTCTATAGTGACAGGGGAGCGTTGTCTGGTCGCCCTCCATGCAGTAGATAGTCTATAGTGACAGGGGAGCGTTGTCTGGTCGCCCCCATGCAGTAGATAGTCTATAGTGACAGGGGAGCGTTGTCTGGTCGCCCCCCATACAGTAGATAGTCTATAGTGACAGGGGAGCGTTGTCTTGTGGCCCTTTATACAGTAGATAGTCTATAGTGACAGGGGAGCGTTGTCTGGTCGCCCCCCATGCAGTAGATAGTCTATAGTGACAGGGGAGCGTTGTCTGGTCGCCCCCCATACAGTAGATAGTCTATAGTGACAGGGGAGCGTTGTCTTGTGGCCCTCCATGCAGTAGATAGTCTACAGTGACAGGGGAGCATTGTCTTGTGGCCCTTCATAAAGTAGATAGTCTACAGTGACGGGGGGGGGGGGGGGGGCGTTGTCTTGTCACCCTCCAGACAAGTTTCATTTTGATATTTTGGAAAGAGTAAAGTAGTTGTGTAAGGGTAATACAATTTCAAACAAAGAAAACTGTTTCTTTAAGTAGCAAAGATTTCTTTGGAATAACATTTACCTGTAGGCTCGCCATGATATACGAATGCAGCTACCCAAGTAAAACACATACTATTTGAAATAATTAAAGTTTGAAGAATGTAAGTTATCTTTCATGACAAACCTTTAAAAAAAGACATCAAAATGTGTACAATTTTAATTATATGGATCAGAGATATCAGGTTTTTCCGTGTCTCAGGCAATTGGAAGATGTTAAAAGATGTCTTAGTGTAAAACTATGTACCTCACATGTGATGGTTTATGGAGAGTGCGGGTGTGTACCACTGTGTATATATCGGTATATAAGAGTTCGTACCTACTGGTTAAAAATTCTTGAGATGCCGAAAGAAAATAGTACACTATGATGTTGGTATATGAAGATCGTGATGCTAATAAGTGGGCATACAACGTCAAATGTTTGTTAAACGAGTGTGCATATGGTTATGTACGGAACAATCATTGTGTACCAAAGGTTGCTGTTTCCTCTTTGCTATCAATAAGACACACTCTTAGATAGGTACCTGGAGAAATAAATGGCTTTCATTTGTATCCTCCCCCAGTAAATTAATTTGTTAATCCCTTTAATTCTCAAACAAAGATTTATATTTTTTGACTCAGTATAGGATATCTCTTGCACAGTTTCGATGTAGGTTGCATAGGGTATTGAGTAGCTTGGGAGACAGGAACGTACGTGGAGGAATGATATTTTGTGAAACAATGTAATGTTAATGCAATGGAGAATAAACAACATTTCAATTTAGTTTGTGATAAATTTGATCAGTTAAGAAGTAAATATGTAAGTTGGTGTTGGTGGAGCTATAACATTTGCCCAGAGTGCGGAAGGCCGGTGGCTCGATACCCGGCCGCGACATACCGACAGACGTTAAGGGATGGTACTTGTTGTTACCCTGCCATGCGCTTGGCATTAAGTGTGTGATTCTCTATCATGTGCTGTTCTACTCTATCATGTGCTGTTGTTCTTCTCTATCATGGGACCGCCTCTGTGGTCTAGCGGAAGAGCGTCCGCCCGGAGAGCGGAAGGTCCGGGGTTCAATCCCCGACCGCGTCATACCAAAAGACGTTAAAAGATAGTATTTGTTGTTACCCTGTCTGGCGTTCGGCATTAGGGGGCTAAAAGGAGGACTGGTCGGCTCGGAGTCAGTATCTGAGTGGGGTATTCATGTTAAACTGCGGCATGGTATCTCAGTGGGCTAGCACCATAAATCGGCATCAGTCCAGACTAGTACAAGCAGCCACACACACGTGCATGCACGTTGCTATATAAGTGCAGTAATCTTGGACGCGACGTTTAACCCCGTTTCACCTCACCTCACCTATTTTTTATGTATTCTCTTTCATATTCTGGTATTCTCTTTCATATGCTGTTATTCTCTATCATGCCTTCTTGTTTATCATAAAGGTCCCCAAGCTGATGCAGGGTTTTCCATCTTCTGCCGACCGAAATGTTCCCCGCACTACTGTAGACGGAATACTAAAGCCGTATGTTCCGCCAGGTGAGTACATACCCGCAAGGCTTTCAGGTGAAAACAACATAGTGCGATGACATATTTTCTTACAATTATTTCATGATTAAAAGTCATCAGCGTAAGCAGTTTGCGTGATATTCTCAAATACCAATACTCTTGATCCTTTTGGCATGGAGCTGTACCTGTAAAGGAAGATTTATTGACTATATATAATCTATCGTGGTGGAGAAGAGTGATGGGCAATAACCGAGTTTTAAAATCCAGCTTTCCCTATATAACATACTAACGCTTAGTCTCTGAAAATATATATTTAGCCCCAGTGAAATCAGAACCTGTGGAAAATCTAGACGTGCTTCATTTATGGATATAACATTACAGTAAGGGTAAGTGTGGTAAAGGTAAAATAATATGGTTCAGGATCAGTGAGACAGACTACCTGTATAACTGTGTGTAGATTCACAATGCCTTCCACTATTGACACGTCCCTGCATCTACATAACATCCTCCGTATGGGCCTTCTCCCCAAGACTGACGTCATTATACAACGTAATATTGTACGTACTTTGGCAACTGTTTGGATCATTTGCTTCATCAAAGAGAATCGCGTCAAGTGTTACACGGCAACTTCCTGAATTCCCCACTGTTGAGTGCACTTAGGTCAACTACGGCCATGGCCATACAAGATGACTAAGGTCAAGGACGTGTTCATGTAATTGTCTTGTTTCACCGTTCTCTCGTGTACATATATCACATCGCATTGTAAGTCATTTACGTTTGCAGGGGGCACGGGTGGCCCAGCCGTCTGTGGCGCCGCGATTCGCTGTGCGAAGTTGCGTCCCTTAGGCACGCCTGAAACCTATGATTGTGGGTTCGAATCCCGGTTCGCCCCGATTGTGTTTCTAGGTTTGTCAGCATCATACCCGTGCTCGTGGGTTTCACCGAAGTGGTAAACGTGAGAGACCTGCATCACTTAGGGCTTTCCTCCCACATTAAGATTACACGCCGTGATATAACTGGAATACTGTTAAAAACGGCGTTAAAACCAACTAACTCACTCATTTACTTTTGCTGCAGAATACCAAAGGTATGTCATCAAGTTACTACTTATTATCCGAGTGGGAATTTCTTCTTCGTACAAAAGTACTGTAAGTTGCTTCGGATAGCTTGGAGTAACGTCAGATAACGCAAAACATGTGATTAATTTGGGTCTGTAACCTTCGTGTACCATACCATTGTGAAGATCCACTTCTCAAATGATCAAAAATGTTTTTTGAAATTTTTTCTACCTCTCTGTACCTCAGTAATAAACATGAATAGATTATCGCCCAATGCAAAGGTGTATCTGATGTACACGTATAGATATATCCTCAATGTAAAGGTGTATCTGATGTACACGTATAGATATATCCTCAATGTAAAGGTGTATGTGATGTACACGTATAGATATATCCTCAATGCAAAGGTGTATCTGATGTACACGTATAGATATATCCTCAATGTAAAGGTGTATCTGATGTACACGTATAGATATATCCTCAATGTAAAGGTGTATCTGATGTACGCGTATAGATATATCCTCAATGTAAAGGTGAATCTGATGTACGCGTATAGATATATCCTCAATGTAAAGGTGTATCTGATGTACACGTATAGATATATCCTCAATGTAAAGGTGTATCTGATGTACGCGTATAGATATATCCTCAATGTAAAGGTGTATGTGATGTACACGTATAGATATATCCTCAATGTAAAGGTGTATCTGATGTACGCGTATAGATATATCCTCAATGTAAAGGTGTATCTGATGTACGCGTATAGATATATCCTCAATGTAGGGTGTATCTGATGTACACGTATAGATATATCCTCAATGTAAAGGTGTATCTGATGTACACGTATAGATATATCCTCAATGTAAAGGTGTATCTGATGTACGCGTATAGATATATCCTCAATGTAAAGGTGTATCTGATGTACGCGTATAGATATATCCTCAACGTAAAGGTGTATGTGATGTACACGTATAGATATATCCTCAATGTAAAGGTGAATCTGATGTACGCGTATAGATATATCCTCAATGTAAAGGTGTATCTGATGTACGCGTATAGATATATCCTCAATATAAAGGTGTATCTGATGTACACGTATAGATATATCCTCAATGTAAAGGTGTATGTGATGTACGCGTATAGATATATCCTCAATGTAAAAGTGTATGTGATGTACGCGTATAGATATATCCTTAATGTAAAGGTGTATCTGATGTACGCGTATAGATATATCCTCAATGTAAAGGTGTATGTGATGTACACGTATAGATATATCCTCAATGTAAAGGTGTATCTGATGTACGCGTATAGATATATCCTCAACGTAAAGGTGTATCTGATGTACGCGTATAGATATATCCTCAATGTAAAGGTGTATGTGATGTACGCGTATAGATATATCCTCAATGTAAAGGTGTATCTGATGTACGCGTATAGATATATCCTCAATGTAAAGGTGTATCTGATGTACGCGTATAGATATATCCTCAACGTAAAGGTGTATGTGATGTACACGTATAGATATATCCTCAATGTAAAGGTGAATCTGATGTACGCGTATAGATATATCCTCAATGTAAAGGTGTATCTGATGTACGCGTATAGATATATCCTCAATATAAAGGTGTATCTGATGTACACGTATAGATATATCCTCAATGTAAAGGTGTATGTGATGTACGCGTATAGATATATCCTCAATGTAAAAGTGTATGTGATGTACGCGTATAGATATATCCTTAATGTAAAGGTGTATCTGATGTACGCGTATAGATATATCCTCAATGTAAAGGTGTATGTGATGTACGCGTATAGATATATCCTCAATGTAAAGGTGTATCTGATGTACGCGTATAGATATATCCTCAACGTAAAGGTGTATCTGATGTACGCGTATAGATATATCCTCAATGTAAAGGTGTATGTGATGTACGCGTATAGATATATCCTCAATGTAAAGGTGTATCTGATGTACGCGTATAGATATATCCTCAATGTAAAGGTGTATCTGATGTACGCGTATAGATATATCCTCAACGTAAAGGTGTATGTGATGTACACGTATAGATATATCCTCAATGTAAAGGTGAATCTGATGTACGCGTATAGATATATCCTCAATGTAAAGGTGTATCTGATGTACGCGTATAGATATATCCTCAATATAAAGGTGTATCTGATGTACACGTATAGATATATCCTCAATGTAAAGGTGTATGTGATGTACGCGTATAGATATATCCTCAATATAAAAGTGTATGTGATGTACGCGTATAGATATATCCTTAATGTAAAGGTGTATCTGATGTACGCGTATAGATATATCCTCAATGTAAAGGTGTATGTGATGTACGCGTATAGATATATCCTCAATGTAAAGGTGTATGTGATGTACGCGTATAGATATATCCTCAATGTAAAGGTGTATGTGATGTACGCGTATAGATATATCCTCAATGTAAAGGTGTATGTGATGTACGCGTATAGATATATCCTTAATGTAAAGGTGTATGTGATGTACGCGTATAGATATGTCCTCAATGTAAAGGTGTATGTTACGTTCACGTTTGGATATATCCTCAATGTAAAGGTGTATGTTACGTTCACGTTTGGATATATGGTCCAATGTAAAGTGTTTGTGACGTATAAGCCACTCTCCTCTAAGGTAAGCAGATAAACCTATTTATTTCATGTCGTAAATTAAATAATGTTCCGGACTGTGGCTGTTTCTGCGCGAAGTATATTTAACAATGCCGTGTTATAGCCCTATGTGATATAAAGAATATGATTGTGTTCTCGTCAATGTTTTGACAGAAGGACGGCAGAATGTTTTGCATTACGAACAAATCATCTCCATGATATGTAAATCAGTTTAGCTTGGACCGCCGTGGGTTCGTGTTTCACAGCGTGCGTCTGATCATTCCCACTGTTTATTCTCTTTTACATGGCTATAATATTTGACATTTGAAAACACATCCCGGCATCTCGACATCAGGTAGGGCGTTGGGCAGAGATATTAAAACCAATATGGGAACATGACCCGGGCATCCGCGAATGCGACTTCTCAAAGGGCTAATCTTAACCTATCCTTTAACCAGCTATTCCACACGTGATACATGTATCTCCCTATTTGATGGGAAGTTGTTCCATATTCTTCCGGAATGCAGGTAAACCTCAATGCGTATTTTCCTGACCTGCAACGCGTCGGTAAATACGAGTGAAAATTGCTTGTGAATGTTACCAAGGTGTTGTTTGCTCCGCTTGTTAATCTGGTATGCTCATCATTGTTTTAGTGGCCCAAGAATCCCTGCTCACCTGGGCCAGGTAAAGACACTACAAGGCTAATGTCTGTATCGGGAGGGCTCCAGGTGGTTTTACCTCTGTGTGAGGTGTAACGGGTTTTCTGTAGGTAATGTTTGTTTATGCTAGCCGCCCCCGCAGTTAAATCACCTGGCGGCGTTGATTGAACACACCTGTCTGGTGGCTGGTGACGTCACACACAGGTTGCAACGTCACATGGACCTCGAGGGTGCATGCACGGGCTGCTTGGCACGGACGTCCTCAGCAGGTGGGATGCAAGCGAAGTCATCAACGTCAGTGTCAGATAAACTACATCGTCCTCATGGTCGGATTATTTAGACAATGTGAAGCTGGACTGAGCGTCTAACATCCTTTAAAACCATACAGAAATATATATCATGTGTTTGTGGTTTTGACCTCCACACGTTGTGCATGCGCAAAGTGTATTTGTTTAATTGTAACAAATTATGCAATTATTGACATAAACGTGCATGGTCGTGGGGTGTTTGATTGACTCCTATAAAACCCAGAGGGAATATATAGTTTATTATGCCGCAGTTACCCATATTCTACATCATGGTTGCTTCTAAAACATCGAGTCTGGACCAAGTAAATCATCCTTTGATAGTATGCACAACGATCCGTGTCCTAGGTAACCATCCGATCCTCATT